TACGGTTGTTGGAAGCTTGAGCCTCGAACTTGGGACCTTTGTTGGATGAAGGTCGGCCGAGGTTGAAAATTTTCCTTGGGGCCTTGAAAACCCGGGGGCCTCAGATTCGTCGGTGATGCCCAAGCAAAATTTGGGTGGTTCCTCCATCCTGGGTTATAAGTATTGCTATACGGGTTGTTAGCCCTAGCATTTGCCACGAAGTTGACTTGTTCCTCCGGGGCGGTTGCCTCCTTCATTGCTTGATACTCCGCCATCTCATGGCTAGTGGTCGAGCACCAGTCGCATGACATCACCGGCCTTTTTCCTTGCCTCTTATCTTTAAGCAAAACCTCTATCAACTTATCCAACTTCGCCTCAAGCGGAGCACTCGCCCCACGCTTCTCACTCCCCTTCCATTGCTTCTCCTCACACTTCTAGTGAACCCCCAATCGTATCCCCTGAGGGCCATGTCTTCGAGTATCTCGGTTATTTGGAGCGGAGCCATATTCATCAATTTCCCTTGACACAAGGAGTCAATGAGGATTTTATCTTCTTGCGTTAGGCCTCCGTAGAAGGTTTCAATCCGAAACTGTTCTTCAAACCCGTGGTGAGGGCACTGAAGAAAATATTCGGAGTACCTCTCCCAAGCATCCCTCAAGGTCTCGTCCTCTTCTTGCTCAAAATGGGTAATCTTCTTTCTCCACTCTGCCGTCTTTGAAGGCGGGCAGTAGCGAGCCATGAACTTGTTGAGGAGGTCGTCCCATGAGGTAATTGACCGAGGTGGGCGATTTTTTAGCAACCTAACTGCTTTCCCCAAAAGTGAATACGGGAAAAGCCTTAGTTGCAAAGCTTCGGCCGGCACACCATTGATTTCAAGCTTCCCGCGAGCTCCAAGAATCTCTGCACGTGCTCTCTTAGTGACTCGCTCTCAAGGTCATGGAATAAAGCATTGCTTTGTATCATAGTCACTAGAGTCGGCTTGATATCAAAATTGTTTGCCACCACTTGAGGATGTAGGATTGGCGATTCAATGTCCGTCGGCCTTGGGGCCATATAGTACCCCATCGTCCTCGGGGCTTCCTCTTCCTCAGCTACATCGTTCAACTGACCAGCGTGGGCGGCTCGATCTTGTCTTTGGTTCCCTGCCATTTCTACTACAACAACGGGTTCAATTTCCACTTCTTCAACTTCTTCTCCACTAACACCGGGACTCAAATGTTGTCCCCTTCTTTCACTCCTTCTCCTTGCCTTCTTTAGCTCTCTCTCCATTGCTAGGAGCCGGAGAGTTTCGTTTATGTCCTCTTCAAGTGGTAGCAAAGGTGTCGGGTCACTCCGAGTCATGCACCACCTACACACAATCGGAAAAGACACCAAATCTAGCACAAGTAAAGCACACACACTTTCAAAACTGGAAATTAAAAACTAGATTAACAACAAACAACTTTTTCAAGATAACTGACCGTTGTCCCCGGCAACGGCGCCATAAACTTGACTCGTCCCAAATACCACAATAATTTCCGGCCTAAGGTCAAAGTATAAACCTTAGTCTGATGCAGTACAGGATAAGTATGTTTAAATATCAACCCGGGCCAGTCCGTGTACCCCTACTTCAATCATTTGAATCATTATCTAGCAAAAAAGTTTTGGTTGAAAAGTTTGCTAATTAAAAATAAGGCAAAGGTAAATGGTTTTGAAAACTCTTTGTGAGAAGGATCATTCGGTTGTCGCTTCCCCCTAACTACTACCATGGTATGTGAATTGAAACGATTTCTATGGGCAAGGTAACCGCAAACCGCCGAGGGATGCAAATATGGTCGTAGACCACATTCTCGATTACGAAACCGAGGTATACATTATAAGCCGTGCCACTCAGCCCTCTCGGTTTAGGCAATCGGTGGTTGACTTACTCCCACACTCAACTCAGGGGTTGGATGGCTTAATCACGCTTAACCAATTTGCTTAATTAAACATTGAGGTTTGCCCCAAATTAACCTTGTTAGGTGGCTTGAAAATCTAAAGGAAAACCAACTCGATTGAGTCTCCCTTGGAAGGGGGATTTTCCTCTCTAATCTAGGTTAAAGTGGCTAATTATATTGCTACGCACCAACATGCACAAACCTAAGGATGCTAAGCACAATTATGCACAATTCTTAGGTTGCTAAGCAACAACATGCACAAACCTAAGGATGCTAAGCACAATATATGCACAATCCTTAGATTGCTAAGCACAAGCATGCACAATCACATGAAGAATACCTCAATCATCGCATTAAACAATACCCAATGACAATCATCCAATTCACATAAAGAAACTACATGGTAGCTAGTTAGGGTTTCACAACACCCAAGTGAAAAGAAATCTACTCCATGCTAGAAATGGGAGAAGCACAAGGAGAAGAGGTAGAAACCATCTTGGGGGAGGCTTTCAATCTTCTAGGCCTTGTGTTGAACTTATCTTGGGGAGAATCTTCTCAAATCCCACCTTGGAGCAAAACCCTAGCCTCCTTCTCCTTTGGTTCGTGTTTCTCTCTCTAAAAATCTGAAGAAGGCTTTCTCACACTATGGGCTCTCCCCTGTCTCTTCCTTACAGCTCAGCTTTTAAATAGTGAACGAGCTAAGTTCACAGCTGTGAACTCTGAAACGCGTCCGTGAACTCTAGATGGGCGCCGAAACGCACAGCTTTGCTTCCACGGGTTCACGACCAACAACTCTTGTTCACGGTCTTTGCGACCGTGAACTGAATTATCGTCAGTAACTTGCATTTCGGCCCTGGACGCCTCAATGTTCACGGGCAATGGCTCTTCTTCACGGTCATACAAGACCGTGAACATCCAAGAAAAACCGTGAACTCTCCGTTTTTCATCTCTTCTCCCGGTTTTCTCTCCTTTTTGTCTAACTTTCGACTTCATGGCTGGTTTCACCTGTTAAATCCCAAAATACACTAAAACACAAGAAACCTAGCGTAAAACCACCCTTTTAGGAGTGAAATTGCCACAAACGACTAAGAAAAACGGGGCCAAAACTTGTACAATTAGGCCTCTGAATCAAGCTGTGAAACCATCGGAGCGTGGTGCCTGATGCTTCCCGATGCTAAAGATAGCCTGCTTGATTTCTAGTCTTGAAACCTGGGAAATAAGAGTAGTATTCATGGCCGCATTAATCTTAATGTGAAGATGTAAACTACCAACAAAAGCAATAGAGTCCAAGCCATTAAAGGAGAATAGATATTGGAAGTAAGAAACAGATACTTCCCCTTTCTATATCTCCTCAGTCTGCAAGTCACCCACCTCATAACGGAGAGCAGGATTGAGATTAGCTCTCCACTGTTGCATCATGATTTAGTGGAAGAAATGGGTATTGACATCCCCTCCCTGGATCCAATTATTTCGCGACTTCTACTTCCAGTACAGCTCCTCCTGACGGTAAGTTTCAGTTAATTGAGATTCCAGTCTAGCAATCACGTCCCAATCAACAACAACTGCCTCCCTTGATGTGTCAATTGCTCCTCTGAGTTCCGGGATTCTATGAGCTGAATTGGTTATACTAAACTTGGCCCATCCCAACAACTCTTGGTGGTATGTTTGAGTTGTGTTTGAACCTTAAACAGAGAAGTGCCACTAACTGGTTTGTGCCATGCCGAGTGCAGGAGAGGAGTGACATCCGAGTTGAATCCCCACCGATTTTTAATGGAACCTCCTAACACGTCGGTCTGTAGACCGTATCAGCAATATCCTATGATCAGAGCCCCTGTCAGAGAGATGATGCACCTGCAGTTCTGGCCAAAAGGAGAAAATACCAGATCATCGTACGGCGAAACAATAAAGGAAATTTCGTTAAGTTGGAATTGACGTGCGCGGGGGGCTACATCACAATGCAAATGTACAAAGACTACAACAAATCTCCCTAGAGAGGTATGTTCACACTCCAAAAACAAGAATCCAAAAGACTCAATTGAAACTGAACACACTAAATCAGATGATCAGGGAATAGCTAATCCACTACCATTATTTGACATACTATGAACTCTTTTCTCAGGAAGTCACAAACTACCTAGTTGTTCGATCACATATTCATCTTCGCGTCTAGTCTCACTCAAGTAAACAAGGAAAGGTAAGTCTCGAACTATGGCCTCCTGGAGCATAGGAACTGTCAGGGGGACCCCTAATCCCCGACAGTTCCAAGCAAGGATACTCATCTATCGGATTGGGACTGATTTGGGTCGGCTGCCTCCACCCTGGTGTCTTGATTTCCAATGGCTGTTTGCTCCTGAGGGTCAAGACGGACCCTTTGCTGTTGGTTCAATGGACTCAATCGTATCATGTCTTGATGCTGGATCGAGCTCGGGTAGGCGGTTGGGAGACTAGTCAGAGGACTATTGGAAATCTGCAGATGGCGCATGTGAGTAGTCATCCCCAGCGGGAGAGGAGAGGCCTGGCTTGCAGCAGGAGGTATGGGTTGGAGGAAGATCGCCTGTTCTGAGAAGCCGTGTCTTTGGCTGTTCGTCAAAGAAGGAACGATGAGAAGCCGTGTCTTTGGCTTTTGGATGGATTGACATAATGGGCATTTAAGCTTGGGCAGAAGACACGTGGTTCGGTCACCTTAACGGTTTAGTCTCGACAGAGTGAAGCCCTAGGGAACTAACAGAGCTGTCCATTTAGTGGCATAAAGGGCTATTTCATCGATGACAGTATTTTTACTCATTGTAATCATTTATGTCTACTATTTCATCTGACCATATGCTCTAAAAAAAGTATGTATAAAATATGTACAGATTGCAGTATGCTGTATTTTCCCAAGTCTATACAACATGAATCAAAGCAACAAAGAAACAAGCTGTGCAGCTATTCATGTTTGCTTCGCAGCTTGCCTGATGTATTTAAACATACAACATACACAAAAGATTCGAGAGCCATTTCCAGACTCTCTTCATCACTGCAGCAGCCTTTCAAGATCATCCTTTCAGAATGTTCTCTTTCGCGCCAATTCGTAGGAACACAGCTTAACAAATACACATATACAACTTAACGAACATTGATTATGTGCGACTCAACCTGGAGGGCCGACTGATGCTCAGCCTCTTCTTCAGGTTCTTCGTCAGATGAAGGGACTACCTGTTTGGAGCATTATTGCACAGGTGATAATCCAAAGCAAATAACCAGTAACCATAAATCATAAAAGAAGCAGCAGCCTAGGAGAAGTGCCATATGATGCTTGGGCAGGGAAGAGACTTACATGTTGCTGGCGCCGTTGCTGAAGAGCGGTCAATGATTTCACCATAACATAGATGGGAAGAATGATTCCAGCTACTCGTAGCAATAACAACTGCAAAGTAAGAAAAAATTATGTATCCCTTTCTTGTCATGAGATTCTTCACATCAATGTGTGCCCTTGAAATGAAGAAGTAAAACGAAATACATAAATGCCTATTTTACCAGCAACAGTGGGATGGAGATATGAACACTTTCAGAAAGTAAAATGGGAAGGGTATGTCGAAGAAGTAAAAGTATCATGATCTGCAAAATAACGCAAAAGGTGATCAATATTTTGGAATAAATTTTTACGCGAAACAGTGGAGAGATAAGCATCTGAGTTTTGCTACCTTGGTGGTACAACTACAACCAAAGATACCAAACAGAAATGCATCAACCATAATTAATTCACGTGCACGATACACTGAGGATAACTTTTCAGTTCACAAAAGAAGTCTCCATTTTGAGAAATTAGTATAAATTCTCCAGAAGTTCAGTAATGTTATACGAACAGCAGTCTGTCGATCTTGGGAAATAATATGATGTTGCAACTCCCAGGTGTGAAAACCTCAACCAGAGGTCACCAATAGGATCCTTAGAGCATCTACACTGGTCTTGCATTTTCAATTGCAAGATGACATGGCATGGAAACTGAATTTATGTAGGTATAATGACATTAATAGGAGTTGGATTGCAAAAAATTATTCATGTGGCAACAAAATCATGTATGCAATTAATTTTGCAATTGCATTGATGTGGATGCTCTTATGCAAAAGCGAAACAAAGCATAGCAAAGAGTGAGTGAGAATTACAAGGATTGCAACTGAGCGGAAGCAGATTAAGTTTCTGCTCGGAAATGTCGAATGGTTATCATAGTCGGGAGTAGCAAGATTATGTTCTGCTGAGACCACTGCTACAAAACGACGACCATGTACTTCCCTTGTGGACCTATCCCGATTTCCCCTGACATAGTCAACATCATTGGATATATGATCCAAGGATAATGTGGTAAGTCATGAAAATAGTTCATGGTAGTAATAAGAACCAAGATGTTACCTCAGGTTTATAGGTATACGCCCAAAATGAAACAATGGTGGTGGGGCTGTATAATCAGGCTTGAATTGCTGAAAATCATCCAATCAAATCATCATTCAACAAGAGGTGTAGTCGAGGAATCATCAGCATCTGAACCTCACACGCCACATTGTTGAAGAGAAAACCGAGATGTTTACAGAAGTCGTGACTAAAACTAAATCATAAGACGAAAGACATACCTGTTGGCATATTTCACAAGTAGTATTCCCCTTCTCGTTACACCACTTTTGAACACACCTCCTGTGAGCATACTGAAATTGTGAAGTAAAATGAGAATCATTAGTCATAGTTGATGAATATTTCAACACACAGCAAGAAAACCATGCACAAGAAGGAAGCATTGAAGCCAGTGCAAAATATTCTTCAGAAATGACTATTTCTGGTCATTTTTGCCATTTCCTGAAGAATTTACTTGTTAAGGAATTGGATGCTCTATTGCCATAAGCACAAGTACGAGGCAACAAGAAAGACTGGCTAGCATTACCACGCAGTGTGACCAGATAGTGTTATCCATGATACTAGAATTCTCCTTACTTTATATCCATTCACCTCATTCAGCTTCCAGAGACAAAAGTTCCCATAGGAAACTGAAGAAAAATCTCTACATCATTTGTGATCCCTTCTTTTAGAAGACTGTATTACCACTACGTAACTATGTCAGGTGTTTCAGCATGAGAACGTTTATTTGTAACACTATATTCAGGATGGAGTTTTCTGGTTTGATGAAAGGAATTTTTTTTCTTCCATCAATACTACATAAGAGAACAGAGCATGATTAAGTTAGCGTGAGAAGGGGATGAGGATCAACGGATGACTATTAGACGGCACAATAACCAGAAAACAAACATTTTCTTCCTCTTAGACCTTGACAAAAACAAATAGGAAGGTTCTTCTAGAAGATGAAACAATGTTAATATAGGGTCATATTTTCATCCCTTGAACTGGAAAGATGTATTATCCACAAACAATGAAGAACCAAACCTCAAAGTTGGTGCCTTGGCCTGAATTCAGTGGACCAAAGGAAAAAAAAGTACCAGCTCCCAGGTTAGAGGATGACCAAGTAAAACATTAAAGCCAAATTATGTAAAAAGCGGGAGGATAAGGTCATAGATAAGTATAGCTCATTCAAGCAAGCAACTGCCCTTTGTTCGCTCTCCAGAAACAACGGCCAAAACAAAGAAAGGAAATGCCGAAACCCCTTCAGAGTACTAAGGCAAAAAAAAGCCTTGAGAAAATTCAAAATTCAGCATCTTGGTCAAGCTTTGGGAGGCCTAATGAAAAGATTACCTTGAGGCTGCCACAACAAGAGCAAGGCGTCTCCATGTTGGAATCTACATCATCATCCTGGCATATCCTGCATTCCACTATCTTCGTGGGAGTCGATATATCCTCAAAATCCACACTATGGGAACATTTCTCCACTTGGGAATCATCATCATCCACCCTGGACGATGCTGTCGCTTGCATAGACCGCAGCCTGCTTTCAATTGCAGCTTCCAGTGTTGATTCGGTTAGCAAGCGGTCCACTAAGAACACAAAATGATCCCCCATCACAAAATGCTCGCTACCGAACCACCAATTCCGTTACTTCCAATTGCAAACCAACTACGCCGATCCTAGACCGCCAAGTTCTTCAGACGAGCTTCTTTCTCTACCGGACTCGGCTAGAAACAGGAAACAAGGACAATAAATTTGTTTACTTGGATGGCCTGCAAAATCTGTAAAGAAGTTGCCTTTTTGGCACACCCAAGAGAGAATTATTAAAGAGCTTTATACAGCTAAATTGAGTTTAAATAAAAAGATTCCATGTCAAAATGATTATGCGTGATGAATTCGAAATTAAATATTGAAAAGGGGTTACTAAATGCTGAATTCGAACTTTCCCCCCTCCCTCTTTTTCACTGTAATCAGGCAATCAAAATCACACAAAAGGAGCGAAATACATGAGCGATAAATGAGACGAACCCAGTTGAGAAGAACACACCGTTTACAAGGACGGGTATAAACGAGAAAGAGACGGTACCCAGAAAAGGAGAAGGCGAGAGGGAACTGAAAAAGAAATACCCAGATGCTGAAGAGAGAAAAAGGAGAGAAACCTTTACCAATTGAAAAGGCACATAAAGGGGGAACCCAAAAACTGAAAAGCACATAAAGGGTGAAGAAGAAGAGACTTACAAGGAGGGGGATGGTATAATCCTGAAGCTAAGGAAAGCGCCACAGAGCGCACTCCCTTTCTCTATTATCTGTTTAGGAATGAAGCAAAGAGATTGAGTAAAGCAAGTCGAGAGAGAAATACCCACAAGCCAAATCGATAGAGCTTCGAAACCTAGAAGAATCTGGGTGGAGTTTAACGGAAGAAGGGGCGGAACTGCTTTGTGGGTTTGTATAGATATTATATACATACAATATAAGCAGGGAGCGGAGATAAGCGAGGGAGAAGGTCGGAATTACGTATAGGCGCAAGCTTTTTCAGAGATGGGATGGGGTGTGGCGAGCGAGTTTTGATGATGAGCGCGGAATAATGGAAACTAAAGTGAGAAAATTTAAGAAAAGTAGATTAGCCACAGTACCGGAGCTGACCCTGGACCTTACGACGAATTTGAAATTGAAATTCATAGTGGTTGCTTTCCCTTCCCTTCCCGGGACCTTCTCTTCTCTTGCTTCCACAAATCTGTTTACTTTTCCACTTGCCGCCTTTCTCGCTTTGGTTTCCTTTTACCGCTCAACTCTCTCCCCTCGCTATCTTTATTAGAGTTGTGGATCAAAAGCTTTGACTCGGTTGGATGTCGTTCGGTCAGTCGATCAATTTGTCAATGCCTGGCCTTTATTTAGATTAGCATGTACCCGGCCGGGCTCAAGATAGGTTATGCACCCATTCATAACCAAATTTGGACCTATCATTTAGAAAATCCAGATCTAAGGATGGAAAATTAAAAACCATTTTTATTTTACCTAGCTTTTTTAATCGGCTCATATCTTTTTCATTTTAACTCGAATTTTAAATTTTTTTTTGCACAGATGGAACGAGTTCATCTTGCTCTACAAAATGAGATCAATTTTCAATATTTTTTTAGAAAAAAATTCTGGCCTCTCGGTACCAACTGCATACCATATGGTATTTTCTTCGTTTTTAATTCGTTTTTGAAAACGTTTGCACAGAAGGGACGAGTTCATCATGATCTATTGGATCTACAAATTTCTGGGTGAACAAATTACATGACCAAAAAATACCACACAATACCATACAATACCACCCTGGTACGGGGTGGTATATTATGGTATTTTCTTCATTTTTAATTCGTTATTAAAAACGTTTGCACAGAAAGGACGAGTTCATCATGATCTATTGGATCTACAAATTTCTGGGTGAACAAATTACATGAAAAAAAAATACCACACAATATCATACAATACCACCCTGGTACGGGGTGGTATATTATGGTACACAATGATAAAAGTCGTAAATGACAGTTAATATACTTTTATTATCATGTATTCAACCATCCTACAGTCTTGGTTTGTTCATACCACCATGGTACGCTTTTCAAATCATAGGTATGTTCTTATTTCAATACCAGTCAATACCATAGACTGGTAAAAAATGGCTCAATTTTTTTTGTTCGAAAAATATATCAAAGTGGATATCATTTTGAAGAGCACAATTAATCTGATCTAACTGTGCAAAAAAATTAAATTTCAACTTAAAACGAGTGAGAAATCGTCCGTCAAATATTAAGAAGGGGAAAATTAAAGGCTTTCCAGGAGAGAAGGATGCTGATGTGTGTTGGTTACTCATGGTTACTCACCATAAAGTTACTGACATGATCCGTTCTCCCCGGCCGGTTGGTCGGAAGATTTGAATTTATTATTTAATAAACTATCTCAATTAAAAAAATTAATGATTCTCAATTAAATATTTTTTTATGAAATTATCTAAGTCTTAACCATATTATTAGTATGTTTTTCAATTATGTCATGATATTCCCATCCCTAAATTGCAAAAAGAAAAATCACGCCCTTCCATAATTTATGTCATTCGATCTCCTAAATCCAAGAATTATAAGTAATTTATGCATGTCTTCATGAATATAAGCTATGCACACATTGGCGAAGGCAGAATTCAAAAGTGCATGTGTCCTCTTCTCAAAATATAAATATATAAATAATAAATTAATTATTTAATAATTATAATTAAAACTATAATATGCAAATATTTTATTATTAATGATAAAGAAATAACCGACTAATACAATCGTTGTTCTCATAAACAACCACGACGCGTTTTCATATTCTGAAAGAAACGCAAAATACATTTGTTGCCTGCACTCTTAAGCAAGTCTTTTTCAATGTATCCAACTAAACAGTCATTAGCAAACTGGTCATCAATTCGACTTCGGAGCTTGTTCTTAATATAGCTCAACCTGACAATGCGCGTTCTACACTTGCAATTGCAATAGGTAGAATCAAAACTAGCTTCAGAAGTAAATAAACTGACGGATATGACTGATGCACTTTTGTCTTCACCATAATTTGAGATAATTCATCAATTCCTTTCAGTCCGACAAATCTCTCATCAGCTATAACATCATGATAATACCCAACAAGTTGTTGTCGAATGATAGTAACATGAATCGAACCAAACTCAGCAGGATAAAATCTAGTAAGAAATAACAGCTTCTCCTGGTCAAAAGCAGCAAATGCATTCTCCGGACTAAAACAAGCCATACAAATCAACAGTCTAGTGTTCACCTCGCCAAAGCGGTTATTCAACTCTTGCAACTGCATATCCACAACCGTGTAGAACAACTCAACTTGAAAGTGATGTAGATTTGTGATCTTCTCAGCTCTGCGCCTTGACCGTCTTGGAAGAACATACAAAGCATCACGAGTCTCATCAACTAATATGCCAAAAAATTCATCTCCTAGATCTTCAATGATTTTCTTGGTAGTTTCACAAGCAATTGCATGAACAAGATCTTTCTGAATATCAGGAGATGTCAATTGAAGGTTCTTTGGGGCATTTTTCAAAACAACTCTTTCTACATCTTTTCTACCACAATCATGAAACTCCAATAGCTCAAGAAAGTTACCTTTGTTGTTTGAAGATGATGATTCATCATGCCCACGAAAAGCTAATCCACCACGCATAAGAAACTTTATGCACTCAAGTGAAGCCACCAATCGACATCGATAATCCGTTTTGGTTTGATCAGATTGTTTAGATAAGGAGGCTGCAATGTCACGTGCTTGCTTCAACAAAAGGTCTGCATTGCTTTTAGCTCTGTTGTGGAAGCTGTAATGTTCACCCACATGATCAGCAAAACTTTTCTTCCTATGCCACCCTCTAAAACCTTCACCAACAAAACCATCCTCGGCTCCACTTTTCTTTCCAAACAAATAACAATAGATACAAAAAGCTGCATCTTTCTCTACATTGTATTCAAGCCAATTGTATTCTGCAAACCAAGACGAATGGAATCTTGCGTCTCTTTCCACTAAAGCCACTATATGGGAAGATATGACATTTAGGTTGACATGGACCATTTTCAAGATAAAACCTTCTAACTTCATTTTGTACATTAGGATGAAAATTAGAAACTTTATCTCTTAATCCGGGATCCCTTGTCAATGAATTCACATCAAACTTGCCTTCTTCAGAGGTAAAGGAAGACTCACTTTCTTGAGACGAAGAGTCATTTTGTTGAGTAGTTTGATTTATCGAACACGAGGGATTCGGTTGTTGGATTTGTGAAGGAGCCACAACTGTCGAAGGAGGAAAATTTTGGGCTTGTCTACTTCCACTTCCTTCAACATCTTGGGTTGCAAAAATTGGAGAAGTGTTGATCTTTGAATAATACCTCTTCATATTAGAGACCTTAGAGAGAGTCAAACCTGATTTGCAAAGAAAAAACAGAATCAGAGGTTAAAAACTTAAAAATTGAAAAGAATTATTAGTCGGTTGCCCCTAATTGAAAAGAATTACGGGTTCTAACTCCCAATTTGAAAATGACCAAATTGAAAACTCCTGATATGCTAATTAAAAACTCCCTAATTGAAAAGATTATTGGTTCTAACCTAAAACAGAAGATGTTGCCGCCGAGAAGCTGTTGCCGCCGCCTGCAGCTGAAGTTTGCTGGTCCTGGTCGCCATGTAACACCCCGACTTTGGGTTCAGGTTCAACCAAAATACGATAACGATTGGGTTAACGGTTACGTATGAAGGGTTGCAACCGTGAATTAGTAATAATAATTTATTATATTATTATTACTAATTAGTGTATATATATATATATATATATATATATATATATATATATATATATATATATATATATATATATATATATACTAATTAGAGCTTCCTCAAACCCTAGCTTGTAAATTCGTTGAGGAGGAGTGAGCACAGGGATGAGCCGATGATTGCCAGGCTTCCCGATCCCAGAGATGAAATCGACATTGTACGAGCCCTCCCCTTTCAACCCTCGCCATCTCTTGAGGGAGTTTACCATCCGATCCTCTTATTTCTCCAATCATGTCCCGGAGATCTCTATC